GTTGGGGACCGCTAATTTAGCTCATTTCTCCCTGCTTTTAAGTTAGCTTCTTTCTGATTGGCTGTTACTCACAATCAGAAGGTTTGAAGAGCAGGTGACTGAGACTTCTGTGGTCTCATATGAGCACTCATTGACGTCATACAGAGACAAGAGTATAAAAACTGCGTCACACTCAGCTTTTGGCTCATGGGATTACACGCACTGCATCAATATTTGAAATGCTGGTTGTGCACTATTGGAAGACTAAATATGAAAAAGCATAACAAGTGCTCTTTAAAGAGTCTTTTGAGACCTTCTCTGACATTTGGTGCTGAATAGCCATATAAAGAGAAACCTATTTAAAATAGGCGGAAGAATCAGTTTCTGCAGTAGGCTTTGCAGCGCTGGCTTTCATCATTGTGAGTCTGTGAATCTGTCAGCGGCTTGTGTAACAACACCTTCATCCAGGAACAATACACAAGATTGTTCTCTCTCGACTTTTTCTTCCCTGGAAAAAAAACGACTCAACTTATACTTGAGTTGTTGTGAAGATTTTTTTGTTTGGTTTTTTCCCCCTCTCACCTAACCTTCATGAAGATGCTGCAGAGAACCTCGTCCTCCCAGGGGTTGTAGCAAATTAGATCTGGGAAATGGAGGAACTCTGTAAGTGATGTGGGAGTAGATAAGATGGGTTCAAACAAGGTGGGTGCACCAAAGTAATTTAAAGTTAACAGAGGAGAGCATGCTACGCTGGATTTTTCTTTTCATGCACGGCGTTGAGAGCCCCAGTGAGATATAAAACACCTAAAACTGCAGTTTGGCTGCAGTTGACCTGTTGAGCTGTGCAGAGGTTAGACATTTTTACCATGTAAGTCACCATCCACCCATGCTAGATAGAGACAGAGTGCTACAGGCTAACTTTATGTCAGTGAGACAAAGGGGAGGTGCTGTGAGGGCTTGTTAGTCTGCTGTGTACTCGGGATGACAGCGTGCGAGGGCTTCAGGCAGATAAACTTTAGATCACAGCGGCGCAAAGCGTCAAGGCAGTGAAGAGCTCATTTGCATGTGCCCGTGTTTACAGTGAAACACAGCAAAAAAGTGCTAAAAGCACAGATGTGTCTAAAAACATGGGCTGAGTCGAGGTTTTCACGAAGACTTTTTCATTCAAGCTTCACCTTTCTTGGCTTTGCTGGCTTTTTACAGCTCGTGCAACCTGGAGTCGATCGCTGTGGGGCTGTGATGAAGTGCTAAGCGCTTAATTGTTGTTCTAAATGAAGTTTCAAGAGAAGTTGGAATCTCATGCAGAAGAACACTGGCGTGATTAAATTTACCTGGCTCCAGCTAAATTAGATCTCATGTTCTGATGTGTCAACTGAACGTTAAATACACAGGCAGGACTGTTTCGGTGGGAAGAGTGAAAGCGGACTCCCTTTTGTTTGGGTTGGGTACTGCCAACAGTAATGCGTGGTGACGGCAGAGCTGCCGAGCAAACGCCGTTTTTAGGCTGAATGGCAATACATGATGTATATGTTCCATGTGAGATGTCGGCAATGTTTAGGATCAAAAATAAAACACATAATAATAATAAT